AAAAAAACTGAATGCCATAAAATAGAAATAACAAAAACTATGCTAGGCATGATAAATTCTACTATGTACAATCACTTAAACAATGATACTGAAAATAGTATTGAATTTGTTGATGACTGAGAAATATATATTTAATAAACATGTTTTACCTACTCAGCTAAATGAAGTAAGTCCATGTATATTTTATTTAAAATTGTTATATTCAATTTGTTGAAGAAGGTTATTTATTTTTTATTTTTGTTATATATTGTATTAATTTTATGTTTTAAATATTTATAAATATACCTAATATAATATCTATAACAATATTATTATTATTATTTTATAATATATGGTAATATATTACCATATATCATAATACCTATATCTAAGCTCAGTGATTGATTATTAAGACAAGTTCTATACTGACATTGTTCTATTTTGATTTATAAAATTAATCCGTGTATATTTACTTGTTAATTTAAACCACGAACAAAAATTATTTTACTAAAATATTGTAATATTGAAGTAGCCAGTTATACAATATCAACTGATTACAAAAAATAAAATACCCATAGATCTCCCGGAGTTATGATAAGGAATGTGATAATCAAAAAAAAAAAAATTAAAAAGTACCTACTTGTCTTATTATCTATCTCAGTGTAATTGTCACATCTACGATCTCGTAATGCATCACTAGTTTTTAAAAGTGTATAGATTATTCTTATTATCGTATTTGTTATTACACAAACTGTGCAGTTTACACATATTTTCATATATGCTAATTCTGCATTAGGAATAGGCGTTATGTAACGTTTATATTAAGTTTTTTTTTTTGGTACGATCTTTTGGGTAAAAGTACGATTTTTTAGAATTTTCCCCCCATTTTTCGGATTATCAAGTTTGGCAGCACTGCTATAACACCATTAGTTAGAACCAGGGACCGAGACCAGACCGAAAAGAAACGGTTACGGAACCTAAAACCTTGTGTAAATTAAAGAACCGAAAATAACCGTTATCTGTATTATATATTTTTAATAGACCCTAATCATTACCGAAACCTATAAACAATACCAAAAGAATATCGGTTTTTTTTAAGGGTTTTTTACTGTTTTCAATATCCTATTGAAATCGAAAGAAATTACTCTTTAAACTAAAAATATATTATTTAGAAACAATAATTACATATAATAATTTATTTTATACAGTATTTACGCAATTTTATATTCGGCCGTCGACTAATGAATATAATATTATTGTCTAAGGAATATTAATATATATTATGTATATGTTACACGATAATGTCGATAACGGATCATTTCTGCCGACACATAAGTTATTTTTACAATTACAAAAATGACACTGGGTTTTTAAAATATTTATTTTTATTACATATCTACATGTCAAACACAATACAAAGCGCATATCGTATTATCGTTATTAGTTATTATCGAATATCGGTGCTTAGTGGTGAATTTGCTATATTTGTTATTTAGTCGCCGCAGATGAACACGCACGCAGTCTACCTTTATTCTTACCAAATTAAAATTATGGGCCGTCATACTGTCCCAGACAGCAGAATCGTAATGTTTATATTATTGTAATATTCAACAAAGGTTAAGTAGATAATATTTTAGTCTAAATATGACTATAATGTTTTTGAAAAGTTATAAAAATTAAATTTTATAAATAGCATTTTTTTAAAGTTTCACTTTCATTTGTTTTTAAATGTTACATATTTAATGGCGTGGTATTATTATATAGTTATTAAATTAATAACTTTAAATAATATTTTTTCCAGAATGTTTTGAATACTTTTTGTATTGGTTAATTTTTCAATATTTTTTACTTAATTTTTTTAAAAATGTTTTAAAAATGTTCAATATAAGACATTAAAAAACTTTATTTATTAGATATTTTTATAATATCATTATGACCTTAAATTTTTAAATTAAATTAAAAACAATCTAGAAAGTTTTGGAAACATTATATCTTTAACCTTTTATTGGTCGCGGTTATATTGACTATAATTTATTTTTTATTTTTGGTATCTTACCGGAACTATTATGTGAATTGTGGAGATTAAACTCCCCCTCATAAGCCACCGCCTAATTGCGCCTGTGAATCTGCGTACATCAGTGGCATAGACATGATTTCTGAAAGGGGGGGATCAAAAAAAGAAAACAACATAACTAAATGGGATGGAAAAATTGAAAAAATTTCAAATTTTTTTTTACTATTTTATAATTTTTTTAAAAAAATTTAGATAGTAAAATATTTAACAATAGGAACAATAACCATATTTGAATAAATTCAAAATTTACTTCCAACACAATGTTATGGAAAATTATCTACTCCAATACTCCATCAAGTCAAAACTTCTTTATTATAAAATGCTATATAAAACAGTACAATATAAAATATATTAACACAATAAATAATGATCAAATCAACAAATCTAGCTTTTTTTTTTTTTTTTAGCTAATTCGTTTAAAACTTCTTCTGCTGAAATAGAAATATTTTTATAAACTGCCATAAGCGTTAGGCCATTTAGCCGTTCCTGCAACAAATTAATTTGTTAATAAAGTGTATTTCATTTATTACAAAATATATTTTACTTCTTTCATTGTATTTCTTGTGTAAGTCTTTAATCTTTTTAAACAAGAGAACATCCTTTCCGGAGTAGCGGTTGAAACTGGTAAAGTACACAATATGCTCAATAAATTAAAGATATTAGGATGTATTATGTTATTACATTCTTTAATTGCATCTAATCCTGATTTAGGTTTGTTTTCAACTCTTTGTAGTTTGATTTTCCACATTTGCAACTCAACTCTCACAGGATTTAAATCAGATTCTGGAAGATAAAATTTGACAAGATCATCAAATTCATCTGGCACATTACCAGATTCATAATAAAACAAACATTGAAAACCTATAACATTAAATTCAAAATATTATACAAGTTTAATATACCACTCACACAATATTTGTATTAGGTAGGTATATCTTATTTATTAATATTTAACTAACCATAAAAAACATTTCTATGGTCTAAAAACCTGACATTCAATTGGCTTATATTATAAAACTATCAATGAATGGAATGCATATAGTGATTCGATAATAGGCCTCAAGATCTAAAGGGCCATTTTCATTTATTAGTGAATTATTTCTGTGTTTTTGTCTCTTATTCAATCGATCAACAGTAATGGTTATATCCAAAATATCTGCCATACTCTAATAAAATGTAAAACCAAAAAATGTATTGACTTATTGAAAGAAAGATAAAAAGGATTAAAATTAAATTTTATAAGATAGTTACTTTGGCATTTTCAAACATCTTATGAAATTCAATATCTATATTTTCTCTTAGATGTTTTAGAGCTTTCACATTGTCATCAGCTAACTCAACCGCTTCTCTTAAATCTATTTCTATTTTTTGAAGTTGCTTACATAGTGGTAAACTATAAGAAAATAGAACCTTTAACAAAAAATAATTGATAAAGTATAAACGACTAATTTTGTGAATGGTACAAAATAATATTTATTATAAAATTCATAAAATTATTTGCTAAATGGTAGATAAAATTAAAATAAAATTAAAAATAAAGAATTACTTTTATGATTTGTAGAGATATTAAAAATTTGGAATCCATTGACTTCAATAAAATATTAGCATCTACTGAAGATAAATCATTCCACTCCAATATTTTTTCAAGTGAAACTACTACATATGAAAATAATTCAACAAAATCATTAATTGCATCATATCGCTGGATCCATCTTATTGCACATAGGTGCTTCAATGTCTTAACTTTTGAATCTAAGTCACTTTCACTTATTGCTGTTAAAATCACTTGATGACACTTTGGGGAATTAAAAAAACAATACATTTTTTGAATAGTTCCTAAGCAATTTCGTACAGGTTGAATATTGCAAACAGATGACACAGCTAAATTCAACGTATGTACAACACAATGCACATATAAAGCTTTTGGGTACTTATTTCATATTATTGTTTGAACGCCTTTTATGTGGCCTGACATATTTGATGCACCATCATACCCTTGTCCACAAATATTGTCACAATTAATACCACATAAATTCAAGCCTTAAACAAAGTTAATACACAATTTAATAAATAACTGATACCCAAGCAATATGATTTGTAAAATCATGTCTATTTTTATGTAACATATTAATTACCATTTAAAATTGCTGAAGCTAAGTTATCACCCGTTAAACTCGTAACTTCTGTAAATTTTAAAAAAACTTTCATAAACATTTTTTTCTTTTCCAGTACCAACAAGATATCTAACACAAATATTAAGTTGTTCTACAACATAAATATCTGTTGTCTCATCTGCAAGAACACTATAATAATGTGACTCGTTAACTTCTTTCACAACTTTTTTTAAAATAATATCACCACAAGAGCTTATAATTTCATTTTGAATAGTTGGGCTAATATATTTATTTCAATAGCTTGATGAAAGAAAGTTTTTTAAATGTTCTATGTCTTTTGCTTTATATTTCAGTATAGCTCGAAAATTCCCTTCATTAATCTCAGGTTCACCTAGAAAAATAATGACAAAGAAAGGCCCAATAAGTTCAGGTTTGGGTTATGGCTCTTATTAAAAAAAATTATTCCTTAACTAAAATAAAATTGTATCCAAAATATATAGTAGATAAAACATATTAGAGCTAATAGTATTATAGTATTTTAATATAGTTTAAAAAAACTTAACATCAAATGACAAAGCACCAAAGTTCCTAGAACCCCTTAAAGCAATCTCTTGACGACCACATACCAAAAAAAATACAATCAATAATAGGAATTAAATTCTCTCAGTTTTCTTTAACTTTTTTCTTTTGAAATAATACAAATTTAGGTTCATTTATAATCAATAATATTTTAAAACTAAACATAAACTAAATTTGTAATAAAAAAATAATACAACTTTATGATAAAAATAGAATATTAAAAAATATTTAAATCTACCTGTCTATGTTTAATTTGTTTATAATCTCAGGTTCCTTGGAAGATGCAATATTCAAAAAATAATCAGCTTTTTCTAGAGTTAGTTTATGATATTGATGTTTAGCATGATTATTTAAAGTCTAATATAATAAATAAAACATACATATTAAATATTTATAATAATATTAAAAAATTTAAAATGTGTGATCATAACTTTATAGACATACTTCTAATGATTTTTTAAAGCTATCCAATGGTTTAATCACAAGTGTATATAATTTTTGACATCCAAATCCTCCAGTTCTTGAAAAAATCAAACATACTTTACAAAAACCTCCTTGCCTTATCTCTGAATATGCTAATCACTTGAAAATTTTCAACCAATGGTGTTGAAATTTGAGATTCCTACCTTTATTTTTTTCTATTATAGGAAATATATAAGTTTCTGATGGAACCCACACATCTGTCAGAATCTATAAACAAATGTACTTTATAATTTTGTAAATTTAAAAAAATGATTCATTTAAATATCATGGTACAATACAATTTGTATATAATTAAATAACTTGCTAGGTTTTTATCAGTATCACTCAAATCACAATTAATAAACAAACCAATATCATTTTCCCTTGCTAATGAACATGTTGTTCATCCAAATTCCAAAATGAAACATTTCAACCGATTAATTTGCGTTTTTTTTTCTTTTGGCATATTATACCACAAATATGAGCACAAATAAATATAAAATAACAAATACAAATACGAACACGACAACGATTGACAATATATGCATTGACACGATAACGATCGTAGTCCGTCGATCACTGCGTACTGGCAAACAAAATAATTCTGTAAAAAACAGATTAAATAAAAATAATATTGTCTTCAGAGCTAAAAATAAAATGGGTTCCCTGTAACGCTATTGATTATCGTCTTATCGGTATTATTGCCGACAAAATCATGTAGATAAAATTGATTAATTTACTAAAAATATGATTTAAAAGTAAATAATTAAAAATTATTTTAATATATGCAATACAAATCAATAAATCTTAAAAATATGCATGTGTAGAAAAAAATTCCAAAATATGCAAACATATGCACAATAAACTTTTAAACTTTAACTTCAAACACCACAACACAAATTTGTACCGGATCAGATTTATTCTATTTACTTCCTGAACAAATATGTAAATGCATAAAGTCCCGAGCCCTGCTGATGACCATTAAATTAAATTTGAATGTTACAAGATAACAAAGCAGAGTTACATACATCAATAGAAAGTATTATTTAGATTTCTATCCTATAATTACCTACCTAGGTATATGTTTAAATCATAAAAATCATAAAACTAGTTACATTTTTAATTATACATTACTAGCTGAATTACCCGTCGTTGCCGGGCTTAAGTATATATATGTATGTAACCTGCCAATATTAAATTTTCTTAAATCTATTGAAATTTAAATTAATTAAGATTTTTGAAATAATATTTTATACATATTAATTTAGTTTTTAAGATAATGATTATTATCATAACCTATTCGATAAGTTATAGCTTTTGGCGGCAGAAGCTTTGTTCACGATACATTTTAGCACTAAAGGTTCAAAATAAATGTTTTACTAATAGTTTTTCAATATTTTATCTACAAAACTTCTTTGTAGACAATGTTCTTCACTGATCTATTAGTAGGCGAGGATTATATGTAAAAGTAATAAAAAGGTCAGGACAACCGTAATGTCTAACGTAGGTCATAGCATCTTGTGTTCTTTCGTGCATGTACCTTGGCCCACCAGTAAAAGTTGACGGGAGTATAACCATTTGGCCTAACTGATTAGCTTCTATGTCTCGTCGTCCAATCGCATATTTTAAATGAATATAACTATCTGCACGCAATTTGGCTTGGTTGTTTTTGATGTAATTTAGTCTTTCAGTTTCAATTTTGGCGTATTCATCTACCAAATATTGACTGAAAAGAGAACGATAATTAACTAAATAGTTGTCTTCCCCTTCTCTGACCATTATTCTATATGAGTAAAAACTTGATGCAGATACAGTTTTTTTAAGCGGTAACTTGGTTTTTGGATCGCGTTGTGGTATATTGATTGCATACCCATCATCCTCCCAACAAAACATTAAAGGATACTGCAGTGCGTCGTATGCTCAATGTATCTCACTGATACGGTGAAGTGAATTACTTCGGTTTTCGAGGATGATGTCTCTTCGATCAAACTGCTGATCTACTAACACTAAAGCAACTTCATTTGCCGTTGGTGCATTATACCTGCCTCTATGTTCTTCTGGTGGTTTTTTATCTGCATGTATTACAACTTTAAATGACTCTGAAGTAGGTATTTTATCGATGGCACTTTTCAGATCTTTTATATATGGGTTCACTTGATGTAGCATATCCTGCAGTTGTTTGATTAAATTGGGTTTTAAGTTAGGATATTTAGAACACCGAATATTTACTTCTCGTTCGTCTTCACCGACAAAATAGATTTGAAGGTACTGTGCGCCTTGTCCGGGTTCAGGTAATATACTTCCAATTAAATGGTAGACCTGTCCTTTAACTTTAAAAGTCGGTAAGAAACCGTCTGCTGTTACCTGTTTACCACCAAATGACGTCATCTGAAAACAGGCGTTATATTTTCGAATATTGTTCATGAATTGCACATGATCTGGGTGCAGAGCGTTAACCAAACTGTAGAAAGGTTCAGGTAGTTGTTTTAACCTCTCAAGTTGTACTTTTCCGGCACTACAACACATACCAAGTGTCTCATCTTTCCACTTCAAAGCATTGCACCACTGACACTTATAGGTCATAGAACCTAAAGCTACACAGGTGTCAGTTCTATATGCAATATCTGAATAATATGCCATACCTAAATGCACCTTGCTTTTCCATAGACGCATAGTAGTATTTTCCTTATATCTAGATTCAGTTTGATTCTGTCTATATTTTGGTTGTGCCGCTGTAGGGCCAACCTTGCATTTATTATTATTATTATTATTATTATTATTATTATTATTATTATTATACTATATTTTTATTATACAGTCCACTTATTATTACCAATCCTTGTATAATAATTAAGGCGAACAAGCCAGCCCTCTAAAATTGTTGGGCACTTGCCGCGCCTACATTTGGTCCCTCGAACCGAATGTGAATTTGTATTTTATTATTATTTATAATCATGTCTTCTAGCAGTTTAGAAGAGCTGGAAGTATCCGACAGCCATATGCTAGCCACTTTAGTGCGACGTCGTGGGCAAATCAAAGCCTCTTTGACAAGAATTAACACTTTCGTCGAAAAATTTAAATTGTCTCCGGATTATGCAGCTGAGGCGACATTTAGACATTTAATTGTACAAACGTTATGAAATGATTTCGTCGTACCGCTCGTCTATGTGACTAATCTCTCCGTTATCGACGTTAAAACTAAAAATATAAAAGGAAATTGCAATGTCTGTCGTCATAAATTATGATACGTGCCCGCGATAACGACTTTTTAAATTACACATATATTTAGATATCTATATTTTATTTACCGTCTTATGGGTACTGCGGGCCGTTTAAAACTTATTCGCGGGCCGTAGTTTGGAGACCAAATATAACCAAATATATTTTAGTCCGAAAACTTCTACTATGGCCGCTGTTATCTTTAGTTATTGGAAATATATAACTTTTATTTGGAATCCACGTTTTGGTTAAATATTTATATAGTATTCTTAAGGTGGGATCCCACGGCCCGTGGCGCGGCGCGCGGCGCGTAGCGTGGCATTGCGCGGTGCAACAAACGCGCCGTGGGATTGGTGGGGCGCGGCGCGGCTCGTGTAAGCGCGGCGCGGCGCGTCCGTTCCCGATGATTGTCGGTGTTGGTGTCCCGCGTCAAAGGAAAACCGGCGCGGCGCGTGTATTTATATCCCACGACGTGGTGGCGTGGCTTACAATTTTTCTGTTTGGCACATAATTTGTTTGTTTGTTTAAATTTTATTTAATATTTTTTTATTTGGTGATCTTTTTAAACCTTTAAAATTTTATTTTATAATTATTTTATTAATAATTATGGAATGGTCCAATGATCTCGTTATCGAGTTTTGGAAGTTATACGAGAAAGAACCAATTATATGGAACCCGAGAGATCCAAACCATAAAAATAGGAACTGCATTAATGACGCATGGAAAAGGATTGGCGACAACATCGTGTAGCATGTACAACAAACGAATTAAAAAAAAAAAAAAATTCGTTAATGTTTTCTTTTCGAAAACTGGCATCAAAAGTAAAAGGAAGTAAGATGAATGGTTCAGGCACAGCAGACTATTAACTAACAATTTAGCCAAAAACCTTTAGTTATAACAAAATTATCACGAACGCAACTGTATATAGTGTTTCACTAGTGATTACTAGTATTCTAATATGATTTTTAAACCATAACAATACAATATATTATCGTTATACAAATTACATAATATAATTATAAACTAAATATTCTTAATTATTTATCATTCTGCCACGTTACTGCTCCGTTTGTAATAAAATACTCAGCGAATAAATCTCTTATTCGGAGAGCTTCAAGTCCAGATTTTTGAGCCACTCTTCGAAGTGACAAAAATGATGACATGTCATTTTGGTCTGTCCTCCAGGATCCTAAATGATCTTCATTTTCATTTTCAGAATCAAATGTTCCTGGGGGAGAATAACTTGCTTCGGATGACTTGCTTTTTCTTAAGAAATTGTGCAGCAATGCACACGTCATTGTTATGCCGTTGATGACATTCGACAGAAATTTTGAAATTTTGTCGAAGGATTTATTTTCAAATCATGCAGCATATTTGTCGCATTGTACCTAAAAACAAATTCAAGTAAATTTAGTATAGTATCAAATTTATCTTTAGAATAGTATTTAAAATAATGTAGGTACTTACTGATTTCGACTTTTATAAAAAGCGTTAACCCAATAACGTCTTTTTTTGGGGGGCACTTTGTTGGCCAAATTTGATTTTAAAATTTCACCACTTGCCATAACATAATATGCAGCAGCACAAATCTTTAGTTTTAATTTTTTATCATAATCACCCATTGTTGTATATTTAATTAAATAACAATAAATATGGTAGTAAAAAAATAAAATTAAACTAAAACACTGCGCAACACATAAAAAATACAAATAAAAATAATCAACGTCCGTTCTCTGAAAGGAAATGAAACGCAATGATCAATGCAAAAATTCAAACTGGCACGGAAATTTGCCGCGCCTGGAAACGCGCCGATCCACGCGCCATGGGATCATGTAGAGGCGCGCTCGTGTAGTGGCGCGTGTAGTGACGAAGTTCACGCGCCACGCCGCGCCACGGGCCGTGGGATCCCACCTTTAGATCTTTACGAATTAATAAATTTGATTTTTCATCAACTGCCAAACCAATATCAAACTCATTAGTGGAAATAACTTTAGACAAATCTGAAATAATAGAGGTGATTGATATATTTTTATTTTCTACATTGATACTTGTAGAAGGAGTATTATTATCGTCATTAACTTTAGTTTTTTTAAAAAAAATTATAAAAAATTCACTCTGGGGTTTTTGTGACATTATCATAAACAATATTACGAACGATACCTCGAGGCATGATGACACATTGGCACAATCCATACACGAATTAGGTTACTCGGCGTACTAAACTATATTTTCAATTATTGTGCTATAGGTAGTAAAAAATATCGATCACAAAATATAAAATACAGATAAGATTATAGTCATAAACAGGGCTCGTAAGTTCAAGCATTTGCATATTAATTTTGTAAAGTTGTATATAATGCTAGATGACATATAAATCCATTTCAAGGTACCACGGTCAGTTATGTGAAATTTTATTTTGCATGATTTTGTATATTCGGCATATTTATGCATATTTCTATTTTATCGGGCATATTATACAACATTTTATTAGAGTCTATCAAAAATATAAATGGGAAATATATATAAAATTAAAAATAAAAATTATATTATCTTTTCTTTTCTTATCTTCTTAATACTCGTACATTTAATGAATAAATTTGTTTCAACAGTTTCAGATTTAAAATGAATTACTCACAAAGACGTACATTATTCGCAGTTCAAGAGGGCTCAAGAATACTATTAAATAGTATTTAAAATCTTCTTTTTTTTTTTAATTGTGACATAAAAAAACATAACTATAAAAAAAATGAATGGATAATTCATGTTATTTCAAAAATTATTTATGATTTTTTTAAGTAAACATTTTTTAAATGCTTAATTTTAGATATTTAATGCATATAAATACATATTTTTTAACATTTTAAGGCTTATTTCAAAGCATATTTTGCTAATTTTAAGTGCATAAATGCTTGCTTATTTAGGCATTTTTTAGAGCATGAACTTACGTTTGTAAGTTCCTGGTCATCAATATCGCTTTATATTATCCGAAAACGGATGGTGTTGAAGCCTGAACGATGACTTATAATCTATATACTAATAATATATTATTATTATTATATTTATTATATACCTATAATAACTACCAGAGGGGGACTGGGCTCCTCGCCCACCCTCTTGAATCCGTCACTGGATTAGAGTATAAATAATTTGGAACCAATTACAAGTCTATGAAACTACACTTGATTTATCTTTATTTATAATTATTCATTATGAAAAAAATGTTATTTTTTAAATCATACCGTATTTTTATACGTTTTTGGAATTCCAACAACACATAATACATATGTTATATTTATAAATTTATCAATTAATAGCTTTCGTAATAAATTAGAGAAATTTGGGTTTGACAATTTTCGGGAATTCTCCAGAGATACATTTGTAATGATCTATTGGATATTTATTTTCTTGACTAGCACCGATTATAATGTTTAACTCTGGAAATGTTTTTGATTCAACACACGGCAGTTGACATTCACATTTTCCCAAATAGTCATCGTAATCAATGTTTGCCACATATATGCCCAACAGATTCATATTAATTCGTAATCTGGCCTGAAAATATAAACATCAAAACAATTGATGTGATCAATCAGTTCTAAAAATACTCATGTTTGATATTTTTTACATTGATGAAAATAAATGCTATGAATAAAAAAAAATTTGTATTAAATGAAGAGTTTGTCATCTGTATTTTATAAATATGTACTTTTTTACTACCCCCAAAAAATGCCACCTATGTACTTTACTACCGTATAATTAATACAATTAAGAAATCACTTTAAAATTGTTTAAACTAGTATTTAATAAACAATAAAAACAAATGGTTCTTATATGAAATAAATAAACTTACTTTTAAAAATATGTTATCAATTGTTTCTATACAATATCTTCGATGTCTGCTCATTTGAACCTCACATAGCTGTAAGTAAAATAATTAAACGAAATAAACGATTATATTATTTCATTAAATCTATGAAAATTAAAATTTTTCATTTTATGTGAAATAAAGAATATATTAATTTTGTTTACTATGATTTATACGAAAAAATAAATTAGAAGATATATGTAGACTTTATTTATAAGCTTTACAAATTTCTAATGTTGATGAAATCTATTATTTCATTGAATTAAACGAAATTAATTATTATGAATAAGACATTTCATAGTTTCAGGAAATTTTATTGAAGTTTGTATTGTTTATGCTAATTGAAATTTAAAATTTTTGATATTCTCAAACATGAATAATCTTATATAATTATTATATTTGGATTGTTTTGTAAAATCTGTATTAATTATTCTTGAATTTTTTAGAATATGTCTTTGCCGAGTAAATACTTGCATGTGAATAAGTCATATCTTCGTACGAAACATCAGCAGTTGGATGAACACTTTTTACTCTTATATCTATTGTGTATAACAATTTTTTTGTATCCACTTTATTATTTATGGTCGTCTGGATATCGGCTTCCTAAACGCATAATAAAAGTATATTTATTAGCATAAGTTAATGTAATTCTCAATTCGTTTTTTTATTGAATAAATCGTATTTTTTGTTATAGTAAATCATGTGTTTCATATTATAATGTAAGTAAATTGTATTCTAATTTTTTTTTTTTAGAAATGCTTTGTTGAAGGTAGTTAAATGTTGAAAAAATTGTTTGTAATTTAATATTTTTATTTATTTATATTTGGCGGCCTAGGCTTATTTCATTTTTAATTAAAATTATAATTTTTAGATTTTTAATGACGAGGGCTTGTTGTAAAAACTAGTTAAAGTTAATGGAAATTATATTTTTATTTGGAGATTGATTAATAAATATTTGATTATAATTTAAAAAATAATGTCATAGTAAATAATATAAAAAAATTAATAAACAAACAAATTGTGGGTGAATAGAATTATAGGTATGTATAATATAGATTTTAATTTGAAAATGGAATACCTTTAGATTAATATAAAGGCGGTCAAAAGATTAGATAAATATAATGCTAAATATTTGATATATAATATATATTATTATAATATATAAATATATATAATTTCAAATCAGAGATAAAAATTAATTTACGAGATAAGTATATCATTTTTACATATGGGTACCTATGAGTAATAATGTTTGCATTATTAATTTGGATCCTATTAACATATTTCAAGTATACATTAGATAAGCACATATTTCCTTACTAGTTTATCTGCAGTATCCGGAATTGGCATATCTTTTTGTTTTTCCTGATGAAAACAAATAATTTTCGATATTGAATTAATTAAGTAGAAATCAACATAAGAGTCCAAAAATTGAAAATTAAAAGCTGAAAGGAAATAAAATATCCCTTTAAATTAGTTGTAATTTTATATAAATATGCGAATTTTTGTACTAAAATGTTACGCATTGTCATTTAGAGGACGTGATACATTTGTAATTTAATCATAAAATATCAGCTACCGTAAAACAGACCAATTTTTTTAATAATTATGATAATTAGATCAACTATCTTTTTTTTGTTTTATGAGGTTTATTTTATCTGTGAAGTAGCGTTTTTCTTCTTGTGGTAGTATGAATAAATTTTAAAATATAAAATTTTCAAGTTAGAAAATTTTTTAAAATATTATCACAAGCAACGTTCTCATAACATATATATATATGTAATCGATCCATTCTAATTCATTCATTATTGACAGATTAGTTCTGTTTATCGTAAAACTGTTTTTCAGCATTGAAACCCTAACAAATGAATTAATGAATTTCGCTTCGGCGTTAAAAATCATCTAATTTTCAATCATCTAGCGTGCAGAAATCGCGTAACACTTGCGAAATTCGTGAATTTATTATTCAAGTTCAGAAAATTTATTTTTGTTATCGCTACATTGATCATGACAATAATAATGTATAGATATCTGAAATAATTATGATTTGATAATTTATAATTATAATCTGTGAAGTCGACGAATACACATTTACATCGGTACCTAATTCATAATTTTTCGAAAAAAACTACTAGAAATACGTAACCCTGCTACACTTCATATATTTTTGTTCTAATAAATTGGGACCAAAATTATAATCATATATCTAAATATATTACAATGTAAGATACTTACTACTGTAAAACTTGCCATACTCAAGAAATAAAACGATTCCGAAATTCATATTAGGATTTAATGTTCTTAAACAATCAAGCCATGGAACTAAAGCGTTTGTAAAAGTTTCATTTAGGTCATTGAAATTTCTAATATCCTAAATATTGGGAAATAAATAAATATATTACATTAAATATTAAAAAAAAAAACAAGCTACATTAAAATTAAGAGATAAATAGATTATGTAATAACTATTTATGACAAATATTATTTTTTCAAGATGTTTTGGATTTCATGATTATAAAATATGTGGAATAACTGATCGATAATATTACTTGTGACAGAAAATAGCAATTTAAATAATAATTGATTGCATTGTGAGGTTTTATTTTTTACGTAATTTTGTCTGAATTAATTGATAGTTAAGCAAACTCTATAATTAAGTTAAAAAACAATTAATATTCAAGACGAAAAAAAATCAAACTAAATTCTATTAATAAAATTAGTGCTGTATTTTATATATTATTACAGTATTTTTCACTATTCAAGTAACTTTTTTATTATATTTTGCATCCATTCTTCGTTATTTATATGTATAAAAGTAGCATCATATACATACATAATACATGCGATCGAAAGCAATCGCATCAACTTCAAAGTCTTGAATTTGTGAAGAGAATTCAGAAGGATTTTCTTTGAACTTCTTTACCCAATCATCAATATTAAAACTATCAAAAATTAAAATTATTGGTAGGTTTCCTTTAATTTTCTTGATGGCCGATATATCTTCTTTAGTCCTGTCTAATATTTGTCAATTATTTTTAGTATTATTTTCTATTAAGTATTATAAATATATACTTATTAATTATAAATAGAATTCGTAAGTTCATGCGTTTGCATGTTTCTTTTTTGCTAAATCGAAAAACATGCCTAGTGAGTTACAAATCCATTTCTTAACAATTAAGAAAATATTGCATTTCATCACATAATAATAAATTAAATATTTTAGAAATATTACATGTCAATTATAAAATCTATCCCAAGGAAAACAATTTACAATACCTTTGGCTAATAAATACTAAAAGATTTTAATAATGTAAGTAGTTAAGAAATAACCTAGTTCTGAGCTTGTGGTTACTACTACTGATGTGCATCCTTGCGGTAACTCCTTTACTAACCGTGTTCCATTCATCAAACCACAAAGACATTTCAGGTCATCGGGGGTCACAGATGCACCTAATAAAAGTATAAATATTGAAAAAATTTACATTTTACAAATTAAGTTATAAATCATGTAGAATATAATTTAAATGTATCGTTTGTGACTGAAATTTAACTTTCATCCTTCAGTTGTAAAAAAATATATTTATTGAAGCGGAACTTCTTTACTGAGGGTATGACAAAAATATTTTGTCACGCGACCGACTGATCAGGATGAAACGACGGAACGACACGCTAATAAGGCACATGCGCGTCGTATATCTGCTACGCTGTGGTCAGTATACCACCTCACCACTCTTTCCTTTTCTAAGCCCAACCTAGCGGGTATTAGAATTAGAGATCCCAGACCTAAGGGGATCTGAGATTTTATTGCCACAAAGTAATTTCCCCCTTTCGGGAACAAATGCCCCCCTCATTTTTAATTGGCCATAACTCAGTGGGGATTCAATTTAATGACCCCCGATCAACTGGGAACCGTTCCGGAGGTGCGGGATTATAGGTTTCCGCTATAGGAAACAGGGCACCAACTCCTTCTTTTTGGCTTTTTGCTTTTATTCTGTATTTTAGTTCAGGAGGTCACTAGGACCGACCCCGGTGCTGGAAAACACAGGATTTTGAATTCCCCCTTCCCTCGCTAACCACAATGGAAGAGACCAACTGCCATTAACAGTAGATGAATACGCCAAAATTGAAACTGAAAGACTAAATTACATCAAAAACAACCAAGCCAAATTGCGTGCAGATAGTTATATTCATTTAA